AAATATATATTTATATATATATATATATACACTAAAATTTGGCAATGCAACATATATATTGCATTTTGGCGTTTTTGTAAGGTTTGGTATTTTAATAGCCTGTCCTGTAGTTTGATGGCCAAATGTTGGTATCACTTAAATTGGTAGTCACCTGGATCGGTGTTGAATCGCCCTTGATGAATTCAGTTTTGAAATTATGTATGCACTTGTTTCGCAATTTCATTTGCTTGCCACTACTTCTTCCAATTGGCAGAAATATTTCATTTTTCATCTACCCTTCTGTTGATGACTTTTTCCTTCAAAATTCATGTATATTTAAACACAGTTAAATACATTCTGATTGTTGAATGTTACACTTGTACACACTCTGTTAACTTGCATCATTCTGGACTAATTTAATTAAATAGGTATCATACAGTAATAGGGAGTCCATTATTCACTTTTTTGCTTTTATATGCCATTTTATCTGTTTTATTTGCCCTACACATTCTTTAGTATGGACCTAAGTCCACACACACACACAAACAAACGAGAGATACACCTCTGCTTCAGCCGCCATCGTGCTTGCATGTACACCATACACACTTAAGCGTTGTCACACCTACTATTTCACATACACATACAGCGTGAATTAGCCCGACTTGATTATAAAAGGCGGCCCTCAACTTCCAGCCTGAGGCTACCCTTTGCAAGTCTTAAAAGAGATCAAGGGGTCACTCTGATCCTCTAACTTCCTATGTTGCTGGGGGAATATGGTGAAAGGGGGATCATAGAAAGATGCCAAGTAAGACATGAATTAAGTTTTTCTTGCAACTAGTCGAACTACATTTCATCAGAAGTTATTCAAATTAGGAGTGGTTATATGAGGTCATAAGTTTGCCCTGAATGACCTTCCTCTCCCAAAGGTGTAACGGTTGCATTGATGCCATCTTTTGATGACCTAAAATTGTCGGAAAGATAAACATATAATAAATCCAGTTTTCAAGTTTCGTGTTTTTTGCACATGCATTCGGTCATAATTAGACGTTTATCAAAGCAATTCTCTAGTTTGTCCGCATTCAGAACTATCAGAAAAGCCGAGACGCCAGATCTTCATAATTCCCCAAAATCCTCTGTAGAGATCGGCTCCTCTGTACAATTTTATCCTTCTTTTGTGAGGCTGAGTTTGTCAAGGCAGCATCCGGATAAGTATGATTTTTGAGGTTGTCTGACCCAACAGTCCAGTGGGTGCCAAAGAGTCGCCGAAAATGCCATATGATAATTGCATTTTTTTATTAAGATTCTAATTAATGTGGGGATAGAAAGAATTGAGTGTTTTAAATAATGGCCGGCATCAGCGGTGATGTGAACCTATTCTAATCAATATAGTGTATTAATAATTAGTTAATTGATTAAATAGTCATTTAGCAGTAACTAATATATTATATCATTTAATCATTTATGCTATCGATGTACATTCATTGAGTATAGTTATCAATATATTTTGTGTTTACCAGCCTGATATTTACTTATCAGAATAATATTTTATTGGCTTCAAATGGTTTTTTCATTTAGTATCTAAAAGTTTCAAATACGTAAATTGTTAATTTGCTAATATTGGATCTTGCTCCTTACTAAACCCAATTTTCTATGTATTTTGATACTAGGCGTATTAGTAGGGGCATAAATAACCCAATAATGAGATGTATAAAAAATAAATAATTTAAAATCAGCTCCCCAAAAACAAAACTGTGCTTCGAGAACATATTCTATTCTGCCCTTTATATACCATCTGGCGTGGAATTAATTAATAATAAAGGTCAACAGGTAATTTGGATTTGGGCTAAATATGGATAATACTAGAAATGGTTAACAATTGGTTAAAGATAAATTGATGATTTTATATGAATCAAAATAAAATTTGAGTATTTTGTTGATGCTTAGGATGAGGGTATCCTGAAATCACTGGGATTGTTTGATTCTTGGTAAAATGAACAGCAAAAAATATCCATCAGCTAATAGGCCTTAAAAGCTGGATTTGTATACGCTGCTGCATTTGCAGGAAAGGGTGACCAACGAAATGCTTATTTTTCTCATTAATGTCCATATCAATACAAATTACTCTTAAGATTTTCCCTAAAAGCATACCACTAGTATCTCGTAATTAATTACTTTAGGTACGGCTTAGAATGTACCATCTGTTTATCAAAATTGAACACACTCACTTTAGAACATGTGGTCGTTGCTTGTAAATCTGAAAATGGAAGAAAAATTATATCAACTTCCAGGTTGTACCATCGTTCTGTGATTGAATCAAGTCTTTTCTAGCCTTTCGGTTATGGCTTTCATTAGCATGGAGATGAGAATATCTGAGGTTTCCAACCATCCTGAATACCAACATATTTGGATTACGGTTACATACTCACACTTCTATCTTTTGCCATACCATCCAGTTACTACTTACGGCTTATATTCCTGTAGAGATAACAGCCTCTGTCTTAGGTTTTGATCTCTATCTCACTTCACCTAAAGTTAAGGTCCCAAAATGTCTGCCGGAAAGAGTAGACATTCAGAATACCTAGAATCCAGACATTCTTATTACTTCAAATTTAATGAATGGCAGCATAGCTTTGCCGTAAAGATTTTCATTTCATGTGAAACGGCATATTTAAGAGTTTCATATGTTCATCTCACCGTAGGACGACAATTGCTTCCCGTCTCTGACGTCGTCTTACTGTATTACAAGGTTCAAGTTGACACAGTCCATGAGGTATTCTTGCTTGTTTAGAGGGAAAAGTTAGCAATAAAATCAAACAATTGTGGAACAGCGAGAATTAGCCGTCATCCTTTGATGAGATCGACGCAAGAATCTCTTCATCAGGCATTCCAGCACGAACTGAAAGTAAGCACAACAATGTTGTCTCGTAATATTCAGTAGAGCTCAGTTACTCTTTGCACTGGTCCCGCAAGACGGATCCATGTTTGAGGTCAGGCTTGTACACAGCCTTGACTCGATCCAGTCCCGACACGAAATATGAACGTATGTTTGTTTCCAACATGCTGAGCTGAAAGTAACGGTCGGAATAAAACCTATTTTCTGTGGTGTCAAAAGTATTTTTAAAAGCTTTCTTGAAGGCTTCGACTATACAAATCGACTGCGGGCACAGGTACACCATTCGTCTTATAACAAAAAAGGCATAAAATAAAATAATTATTTTGAGTTTTATTTATGCATACTAGGTTTAGAAACAATCAGTCTATCTCGAATGATAGCTGTAGCTACCCTAGGTCGCACAAAATATTGAATTTTCTCACGATGATATGATCGAAATTTGCATGGTCTTGCTACCCAAAACGCATTCACACCCATATAAGAATTATGCTTTTAAACAAACGAATATATAAAAGTGGGTTGACCTTGTTTTCGCAACTTGTTCTTGTTGTCAGGGCGACTTAGTAGAACGTACCTAGTCCGAAGTCGTCTGCCATACTAGTTGTCATGTTTCCCAGCCTCCAACAATGGACTTGATACATTCTCAAACGTATTCCTGACAACATGACAAAGTTGCGACTTCTATAAATCGAAAGGAGACTTCGACCATACAAGAGGCCACAACATCTTCGTCTTCATGTTTTCAATTAAACTATTGTATAATTTTTGCTCTGTTATCTTTTCTGTTGGCTTGGCTGTTTTATTTGGATTTACTTATTTTAAATATCAGTAAAGTTGCCCATTTTTTGCGGTCTCAGATTTTACAGCATAACTTGTTGCTTTTAAAGATTCAATTGCTTTCATCTGTCGCTTCTGCCTACTTTGTAGTCTATGCAATGATTTTAAATTAAAAAAATGTATTTCAGTAGTACTTGACTAACAGTTCCAGCCTCAAAGTACCTACTTCCTATGGGCATCAGTAGTGCTTAGTTGAAAAAAGCGCAGTTGGCACCAGTCGTTCGGGCGAAAATGGCTGGAAGGTGAGGTATGCTCTTTGCTTGTGTCAAGCTCATTCTGCTTTGTCGCCCCTTGGCTGCAGTGGCCGGCAAAGATGGGTGAGCTGAAGAGGAGCGGAACAAGTTGACCAAAGATGATATGTTGAGCACTGATGACTGAGGTTAGACCGGTTCGATAAGAATGCAGTTGGCAAGGCGATGATGAGAGAAAATCAGCGTGGCATGAGCGCAGATGATTGACCCTTCCGTTTGCCTTGCCCCCGTCATTTGACTGTGAAAGTTTGGTGCCACGTGTTTGGTAGTCGTGCGTCTCGTTGTCCCGTTGCTGGCCCCCTCACAACCAGACACGTATGCACACATTCTTGTGCACACGCTTATTTCGGCATACAGACAGAAGACAATCTACTCGATCACATACGCACTTTCACCCATCATACAATAGTTGACATTCATCCCTTTTCCTTTCACCCTGGCTCCAGTTTGTCCACTTGTTCTCTCCCATTCGCCTCCCTCCCT